CTCCCTCCCTCCCTACCTCCCTCCCTCCTACCTCCCTCCCTGCCTCCCTGCCTCCCTAGATGCAACGACAATCAACACAGGAAGAACTCATCCGACTTCTACAGAGCGAACAAGAGCGTTGGGCGAGAGACCGGAGATACGAGGAATTTCTCAACGAGGGGAAATCGCGAGAAAAAGAAATTTACCGCAAAGGTAATTCTTTTGGCGAGCAGCACTGGCGGTATTGCGACCGCTTCCGGACTGGCCCCGACTGCGAGCACGCTGCAGGCCGCAAATCCTTGCCTGCAAGCGTCCCATCGCGCGCGAGCCATCCCCGACCCCCGCCGCCCCTCTCGGCCCAGGCGCCGCCGCAATGGTCGGCAAGAGCAACCGCGTCTGCATTCGCCTGCTGCGCGAGGACGGGTCCGAGGCTGGCTTCCTCGACCCTGGATCGCTCGGCAAGAATTCGAGGCTCGCCGAGTTCTTCGCAGACATCTTCAAGGGGAACAACATCATCCTCAACTCGGACGAGTTCAGCCCGGAGCTGAAGCGCAAGATGGACGAGGCGCCGCCACCACACGCTGCCGCTCGCCGAGCGCATTCGCTCACATGCGGCGCCCCCCCCCCCCCTCCCCTGTGCAGCTCGTGTCTGTCGCCGCGCAGTGTATCGAGACGCTTCCGCCCGACTCCAAGTTCCTGCAGCAGCTCATCTACGCGGCCACGATGCACGCGCGCACGTCGATCGCGCAGCCCAAGCAGGGCAAGCTGCAGAAGAAGGTCGTGGAGGCGCTCAACGGGTACTGGGAGAGCGCCGCAGACGCGCTCAACGGCGTCAAGAACTTCATCACCTGCGACGACATCATGGTGCCGATGGAGCGGATGCTCTCGATGCAGCAGCGCTCCGCCGACCAGTTCCAGGGGCTCGGCAGCCGCGTCACCGCGCTCGAGATCGAAGCGGTCAAGTTCAAGGATGCCCTAGCCCGCGTTGAAAAAATGGCGTTTTTGAGCGTGGCGGGGACCCAAGCGTGCGAGGCTCCCCTGAGTGGGCCGTTTGCCCCCCCCCCCCCCCCCCCTTCCCCCTATAGGTTCTGAATAGCGGCTTCTCGACTGTCCTAGGCCGGTTTATCGACGAGAACGAAACCCGCACGCAGGTTGCGCGCCTCCCCGCCTCCCCGCCCCCCCACCCCCGCCCCCGTCTCAGCAGTTACATTGCGACCCCCAACGTTGCGCAGGCGAACGAGGCGCAGCTGGACGCCGGCGTCGCGTCGAGCAAGGCGCAGGCAAAGGCGCTCGCCGCGCTGCACGAGCAGAATGTGGCGGGCGTCGCGCGCTGTGTCGAGCTCGAGCGCAGCATCTCCAAGCTGCGCGCGCGGCACGAGGAGCTCGAGGCGCGCGAGGAGGTGTTCGAGCGCGAGCAGGCGCTGCGCGTCTCCGAGCTCGACACCGCCCTCGAGCAGCAGAAGCTGCTGACGGCCGTGCTCTCCAAGAAGCTCGCCGAGATCACCTCTTTGAAGCTGCGCGACGCCAAGCGGCAGATGGAGGTGCGGGCTTTGCCTTTAGCCTCCACCCTCTGTGCGCCCCCCCAGCCCCC